CCCACCAGATGAAGGGCAGTGGCGGGCTCACCTGGCGGCAGCTTTTAACAAGCTGTCAGGGTATGGGCGATGCGTCCTGGGTGGTTCGCACCATCATCGTCGTCCTGCGGCGAGGGGTTTCGAGCGACGCGAGGAACGTTGTAAGGGACGGGCCGTGGCCTCGGAGGCACGAAGGAATTGAAGCCTTGCCGGAAGACGTCGGCGGCGTCCATGAGGGCGAAGAGAAGGGTCAGCCGACCGCGATTTGTGTGTGTGTGTGTGTGTGTGTATGCGGCTGTCTCTATGTCTGATTGTTGTATAGGCCGACGGGCGGGCTGTCGTCGTGGTCGTCTAGTTTGTCGTCGCGTCGGGTTCAAGTGCAGTCGTTTTCGAGGGGTCGTCGTGGGTTTGAGGTTGCTGCGAGGATCCAGTCCTAGCTCAATCCGAGTTTGGGCGACTTGGCAGGCGGGATCAACGTGGGATGGAGCCCCCCTCCCCGGATTGCGACACTTCTCGACGAGCCTGGACTCGGACTGGGACTGTTGGACTTGTCCTGCAAGTCAGGAAGTAAAGGCCGAAACGACAAGTGGATCTGACGGAGTTCGGGGAGCAAATAGCGTCGAGTCTGGCTACAGACAACACAATGTCGTCCGAGGAAGTCGGCCTGTCAAGTCGGGGGGGCAATGCGGTGGGCGGGTCGTGGTGTTGCTTGTGCCTCACTTTCAGACGGCGAAGCGAGAGCCTTGGGCACGTCCAAGCCACGGCGCCATTGCGTGTTTAGTGGTACTTCTGAGAGTCAAGCAGAGCAGTGAGGAGCAGCGGCAGCTGTGCCCGAGATCAAGTGGGGGGGAGGGGCAGGAGACTAGGGAAGGTGGCGGGGGGGTGGCGGGGGGGGGGAGGGAAGGTGGAAGAACGGGTGCTGTGACCTGCTGGTAGGTACCGAAAGGACTTGCTGGTACCGGAAGGATTCGTGCGTCTCGAATGGTGAGCGCACTGTATTCAGAGGAAGTTCTGGAGGGCGGCTGCCCGTTTGTAAGCGGCCAACCCCGCTGCTTGACAGTTCGCTTGTACAGTGTCCATCTCTACCTACAACTGATCATGGCAGGCACAGGTTATAGTGGGGCGGATCCCGAGAATAAGACCGGATCACAAGGGAAACACATGTCGTGATTGGTCTTTCAATGTGATGACAAGATGACAGCAGTGCGAATGCGAGGAGGGGGAGGAGGGAAGGACAGGCCAGGTGCCTTGCAGAAGAGCCCAGTCTAGCCCAGACCTTGGGCAGAAGAACAGGCAGGAGCCGCACAGCCTTAAAATTAGCAATGGAACACGAGATGTGAGGCTACTTCTCTCATGCGCCGGACATCTTCGGTCCAGTGTCTGTCATTCATGGTGGCTCGCAGTCTGGCTGTCCTGTCACCAGCCCTGCCTTTCCAGGGTCCTTGATATGGACATCGTCACGCGACCAGCAACCCAGACCCCAGGTCCCTCAACGATCCCCATATCCTCGTCGCTGCAAGATTCTGACAAGGCGCATTCGAGATTTCAAGTATAGGGTATGACCCATAGGCTCTGCCTAGGCTTGGGTGTCTTACCAGGACCATCTTGCCAGGAGATTGGGCATTCTCTCTCTGTTCTGAATTCCTCAAGGTGAATCAACCACCATCTCGGCCATCAGACGTCGACGAGCACCTGTATCGTGTCGCACATCACAAGTCTCCTCTCGTCGTCAAGCCATATGCCGAACCATAGCACGCCTCATGCCCCTCTTCAAAACAAAGAAAAGCCCCGGGACTTCGGTTGCAACCCAGGCCCCACCACGAATGGCCTACGGATGAGCGTGTCGCCACTCAGCACCGGACTAGGCGCGCGCACCATCGTGCTCTGGAATCCTACGTCGCCGCCAAGTCTCCTCCTTGTTCCGCCTGTGTTCGACCGAATAGGCATCTGAGCCGTCACCTGGACCTCCACCGCCCGAGCCTTATCAGGCTAACATCGGAGTGTCGAGTCAAGGTGCATCTGAATCGATCAACTCGAGTCGACCCTGAACCGAACCGACCCTGCGCTAGCCTGTCGCTGGGAGGAGGGACATGCCGTGGCGGCCATTTTGGATAGCCCCGATGCTGGGCCCCTGTGATCGACGACCCTGTCCGTCGTCGACAGGCTGAGAGAACCGCCAGCCACGGATCAAGTAGGTCAGTGTCCTTGCCGCTTTTGTGCCGTTCAAGCCCAACACACACTCCCTGAGACACCAAACACGGCCTTGAGGTCGTTCTTTGGCGCGCATTGTCGTGCTCAACTCTGCTGGTAAGGCACACCATCGCGTCCGCGAACAACCCTGCCATCAAGCACTACTATGACAGGGCTTCTTCAGCCCAGGTATGCATCATGTGAAACGCGTGTCAACTCAGGGCAGCAGAATAAACCATGCCCTGTCTCAACGACACCCGCCAAGGATGCAACCCTTTTACGCGGTCTGTGCCGGACGTCAACTTGTTGATACAGTATCGTATCGAATGCTGTTGATTCAGCACTAAGCGCAATTGATGTGCGAAGCCCTCGTAGTCGCAAGTCCCGGTATGCATCCCAAGTCTTCGCAAATGACGACACTCCGGATCAATCACGTTCGCTCTCATGATAACGCAACGAATCATACGACAAGTCACTGGTCTCTCAATGTGTCTTTCACAGTTGACATTACTCATA